TAGGCTTAAAATACGTGTAGGAAAACCCATGGAAAATTTGGCAGATGTGATTTAGTGCCATCACGCCTTGCGGGAAAAGTTGGAAGTATTGACTGTCACAGGATAACAGGCCACACGAATGTATCTACATACATACTATACATTCATCACCGTGTTTCAAGCGGCACTTTCAGGCCGGTATTCACAGTCAGATTTTATATTCAAGACTGTTTTAAGTACGACCTTAAGAAGTCACGAACCAATCAGAAGGCTGCATTAACGTCTTAAGACATTACTTAAGACGGTCTTGAACTTCCTTTGTCTTCTTTATTGTTCTTCATTATTTTCATTATCGGAGGATGACAACACAAGGTTAAATAAATTTGCCATATCTGAAAAATAAAATAATGCAATATCTCGTGTAGAACAATTATTATTAACACTTCGCATTTATGCTACCGGATCATTCCTTATAACAATGAATGATTTTTCTGGTGTAAGCACAACATCTGCGTATTACATAGTTTATAAGATCAGTGCATGCCTATTACTAGGCTACGACCTCGCTATATTCACTTTCCAAATATCGAACAAGAAATAAGACAAGAACAATTACGTTTTTATAACGTTGCTCGTTTTCCAAGAGTCATTGACTGCATAGATTGTACACATGTCCAGTCATTTAGTAAGGATTATTTTAATTACTTTATTTATCTATAATATTTATTATTATATTATATTTATATTTTGATTATTACAGGTGGAAAAAATGCTGAATTATTTCGTAGTAAAAAAGGATACTTTTCTATGTTCAAACAGTGTGTAATAGCAATCTTTTATCAGCAAAAAATTTTCTTATCTTTTTTTTTAAATTATCCTAACAGCTTTTCAAAGCTTCAAAATTTCCATATTCGCCTTCAGAAGATCTATTATTAAATGAGTGTTCTATAACTTTCCAACATTTCTCATTCGGTTTGTTTTTTATTACTGCACTTTCTGAACTAGTGCACACAGTGCAATAAGTTAAAGTGAAATAAATATACATTCGTTTTACTTTAACTTATTGCACCGGCAATAATAAAAAATACACCTTTTGTCTTTTGAGGTTCTCAAAAGGAGGACTGAGTCAGATTTCTTATTTTCAAGAATGTCTATATATTGTTGTACTAAATATATTAATATCATTTCCTCTGCTTCGAAAATATTCCGAGCACGTTTACGTTGTAATTTATTTACAATCTTTCCTTTATTCATATGTTACTTGATGCTTATTATAACACACACTACGAAGACAATAAGAGTGAAATCACATTTTCTATTCTGTTGCCCTTTTCCGCACCGTGTGATTTCGCCCTAAGAAAAAATATATATTTTGCGGTATGCGCCTTATTTCTATTAGAACAAACACTGAACCAATCAGTATTCTTAAATTTTCTAAAGATATGTTGCACAAGTTATAAGTTTAGCTAAACGTTCTAGATGGAGTGTTCGTAGAAACCATTCAATATTAAACTGAGGATTTGGTCAACGCGATGCTACAAACGCTTTGAAGCGTTTTTTAATTGGTTTGTAAAATTCTTTCTTCTAATTAGTCCATCAAACGCTTTAAAGTATTTGTAACTAGACTTTGACCACAGCCTAAGAGTAATAAGAAGGAGATCAAACTCGAGGTCCTGAGGCCGGTATTCATAGTCGATTCTTATTTCAAGACCATCTTAAGTAATGTCTTAAGACGTTAATGCAGCCCTCTGATTAGTTCTGACTTCTTAAGATCATACTTAAAACGGTCTTGAATATAAGATCTGACTGTAAATATCGGCTTGAAAGTGGGCTCGAAATACGGTGTATGAATGTGTAGTATGTGTGTAG